TCAGCATATAAAAATAAAAATACTCCAAGAGCAAGTGAGAGTTATTTCAGGAATGCATGATTTATTCAACATTTGAATATCAATCAGTGTAATTCATCATATTTACAGACTAAACAACAATAACAAAAAACCTTTGACAAAATTCAGTATCCATTCATGATAACAGTTCTCAAGAGTAGAAGAGAATTTCCTCAACCTGGTAAAGGGTAACCACAAATAACCTGCAGCTGACATCGTATGTTATATTAAAAGACAGAATGCCTGCCACCTAAGAAACAAGGCAAAGATGTTCATTCTCAACACTCATGTTGATGTTGTGAGGTGTATCAAGTTGGTTGCAACTCACAGTGACCCCTTGCACAACAGAACAAAAACACTGCCCGGTCCTGCACCACCCTCAAATCATTGCTAAGCTTGAGCCCGTTGTTGCATCCACTGGTCAATCCATTTTATTGAGAATCTTCCTTTTCTTCTTTACCAAGAATGATGTCTTTATCCAGAGACTGGTCTAAAGTATAAGAGGCAAAGTCTTGCCATTCTCCCTTCCAAGGAGTATATTGGCTGTACTTTCTCCAAGATTTGTTGTTCATTCTTCTAGGAGTCCATGATACATTTGATATTCTTTGCCAACACCACAATGCAAATGCATCAGTCCTTCTGTGATCTTCCTTATTCATTGTCCAGCTTTCACATTCATATGAGGCTATTGAAAAAACAGTGGCTTGGTTCAGGTGCACCTTAGTCTTCAAAGAAATACCTTAGCTCTTTAACAGTTTAAAGAGGTCTTTGGCAGCAAATTGTCCCAGTGCAATATATCGTTTGATTTCTTGACTGCTGCTTTCATGGGCATTAATTGTACATGTTGTTGTTGTTGTCATGTGCTGTCGAGTCAAACCCAACTCATAGCGACCCCTCCTTGGGTTTCCAAGGCAGTATCACTACGGAAGTAGGATTGCCCAACCTTCCTTCCGAGGAGTGGCTGGTGGGTTTGAACCGTCAGCCGTCTGGTTAGCAGGCAATTGTCTTAGCCACTATGCTACCAGAGCTCCTAATTGTACATGTAGGTAAAATGAAATCCTTGACAACTTCAGTCTTTTCTCCATCTATCATTATGTTGCTTATTTGGTCCAGTTGCACAGATTTTATTTTCTTTATGTTGAAGTGTAATCTGTACTGAAGGCTGTAGTCTTCAATCTTCATTTGTAAATTTTTCAAGTCTTCTTCACTTTCAGAAATCAAGGTTGTGTCATCGGCATATCTCAGGTTGTTAGTTTTCCTCAAGTCCTGATGCCATGTTATTCTTCATATAGTGCAGCTTCTCAAATTATTTGCTCGTCATGCAAATTGAGTAAGTATGGTAAAAGGATACTCAAGGCTTGAATTTGTCATTCATTTCTTTCAACTTGAGAAATGCTGAGTGTATTCTTCCCTTTTGGTTTTCTACCTCCAGGTCTTTTCACATTTCAATGTAGTATTGTAGTTTGTTTCTCGAGCTGCCCTTTGAAATCTTCTGTTCTGATCTTTTCTTCATTTTTTCCATTTGGTTTAGCTAGCCTCCATTTAAGAGTAAGTTTCAGATTCTCTTCTGACTTCTAATTTCTTTCTTTCCTATCTTTTTAAAGACCTTTTGCTTTCTTCATGTATGATGTCCTTGATGTCACCCTACAACTCATCTAGCCTTTGGTCATTTATGTTCAATGTGTCAAATCTGTTCTTCAGATTGCCTCTAAATTTGATTGAGATTCAACAATAATATCCAACATAAAAACATGAAATACTATGGATAAATGTAACAAGTATGTATGAGACACATTACTGAATACTATAAAACATTGTTGAAATAAGCTTAAAGGGAAAAAAAATTAAATAAATAAATAAATAAAGAGATATGCCTTGTTTTAACAATACAGAAGTCTCTATATTATTAAAATATACACAAACTGTGTAAGCTATTTCCCAGAGATAAATATCTCTTTCTATATATTTTAAGCTTTATTGGTTTTGCTTCTCTAGAGAACCCAGCCTAACACCCTGTGTATATAGCATTAAATTGAAATCTTTGCTGAAAATCAATTGCTCATATAAGAGTGGGTCTTCCTATTCTGTTCCAGTGATCAATATATCCACCCTGGCTGGCAAGTCCTAGGTTCCTGGATCTAATGTCAAGCTGGAGGCTTTTCCCAATTCACATAGCTGCAGGGGCTGACAAGTTCAAGATTCGCAGGCAGTAAAACAGCTGTTTGGGGTATGACAAATCCAAGATCACCAGGCAAAATGGTGTATTGTTGTATCACAGGACAATTGTAGAGGCTGGCGAGCCCAACTTCATGGTCCAAATGTCAAGCTGGAGACTTTTCCTGATTCATGCAGCTGTAGGGGCTGGTGAACC